GGGCGCGGCGGACGGGCGAGGTTGGCGGCGAAGAATCGCGCGCGGGAGCTGCCGTTGCCGGCGCGCGGGAAGGGCCGGTATCCGGTTCCCCCGCGCTCAGCCCCGTCTCTCCCGCAGGATGAAGAGCTGTGCAGGCCATGGCGCGGCCCCCGGCCCCCAGTCCCCGCCGCCGGCGGGGGCCCTAGGACGACGCAGCCTCCTCGTGCCCTATAGCTCCCTCCCCCTATTTAATTTTATACCTAATTTATTAACACCTTCCTCCCCAACCATGGAGCCGACCCCCGCTGTGCCCTCTGCCCCCATGGCGGGCTTCCTCTGGATGTTGGTCCTGGGCTTCATCATCGCCTTCATCCTGGCCTTCTCTGTTGGTGCCAACGACGTGGCAAACTCCTTTGGCACGGCAGTGGGTTCGGGAGTGGTGACCCTGCGCCAGGCCTGCATCCTGGCCAGCATCTTCGAGACGGTGGGATCTGCCCTGCTGGGTGCCAAAGTCAGTGAGACCATCCGCAAGGGGCTGGTTGATGTGGAGATGTACAACTCCACCCAGCTGGTGATGGCAGGGTCCATCAGTGCCATGTTTGGTGAGGAACTGGGGATCCCAATGGAGAGGGGTGGGCAGTGTGTCTGGAGGTGCAGCAGGGACAGTTTCCTTACCAGGTTTCTCCTCCTCCAGGATCTGCTGTGTGGCAGCTAGTGGCTTCATTCTTGAAGCTCCCCATTTCTGGGACCCACTGCATCGTTGGGGCTACTATTGGCTTTTCACTGGTGGCCAAAGGGCAAGAAAGTGTCAAGTGGTCTGAACTGCTAAAGATTGGTAAGTTCAGCTGGTATGACCACATCTGTGTGTGGTCCCCATGTGTCCCCTGGGCTTCCCCCTCCCACAGCAAGGTGCTGATCCTGCCTCTTCTCACTCCTAGTGTTGTCCTGGTTCATCTCACCCCTCCTGTCAGGCATCATGTCTGCTATCCTCTTCTTCCTTGTCCAGAGGTTCATCCTCTGTAAGGTAAGGGCTCTCGACCCTATTTTCTGACACCTTGGGTCTCCCTGGGACTAGGTGGTTGCTTCATGTGCACTACAGCTTCTCCAGGTAGATCCATCCTAGTGCTGACACTTGGCTGAGCCCACCAGCGCTTCTTGGGGAGGAGTAAGAGTGATGAGAGAGCAAGGCCTGGGAGGTTAGGAGGCTTCACCCAGCCTCCTCCAGAACATCTGGGCCAGGAGTGTCCTGGCCTCAGCAGAAACTGCTGTGCTTTCCAAGTAGGGAAGTATCCTAGAACTGATAAGATCAGAGCTTCTCAGCTGGGCTTTTCCTAAGTCCTGCTGCAGGGCTGGACTTCCTTTCCTGTCATTCTGCAGATGAAGGCTGTGACCAACAGCTCTGGGTTTTATTTTTAAGCCAGAAGGGCTGGAATTGTCTCTGGTGCTGTGGAAACTGCTCTTTTCTCCTGTCTGGGATACCAGATGAACCAAGGGGTGCTCAGGGACATGCTCCTGAAAGTCCAGGCCAGGGGATTGGGTGACTGAGGGGGCTTGAAATGGAGTTGGTAGCTTTAGACCTTATCTTTGAGATGCTGCTGACCATGGAACACAGGGCAGCAGAGCAGGGACATCCAGCCAGCAGAGGAACTCCAGCATTTTCTTCTGCATATTTGAGGTTAACTGAAGTTATTTTAGATCTTGGCTCTATTTCTGGTTCAAGAGATGTTAAGATCTTATCTCTGCCAGTTTCTACCTGGCAGCCCTTGGAAGCACTTGGGCATCACTGCTCTTGGCACTGCCCTGTGTCCCTGGCCTTGAGCAGGCCTGGCCTCACTATGTCCCCCTTGGCACTGAGCAGTCCAGGAGCTCTGTCCCCACCAGTGCTTGGTGACACTTGGTGTGTTTGTCCCTGTGCTGGACCTGATTGCTGGGCAGCAACTGGGATTAAGGGCTCGGGCTGCTGGGGGAGGGGCTCTCCCTGTAGGTGTGTGGGCAAATAAGCTGCTTTGTGAGAAGTAGACCTTTTTCTTTTATCTGAGTCAGCTGGAATGGGGTGGAAGCTTTGTCTGAAAGTGGCTGGGGAGTGGGAAGGACTTGTATGCAGCTGGGGGGTCTGCAGGCCTTGGGAGGGGCTCAGGAGCTTGTGGG